GACCATTCTGACTACTAAATATCTTCTTTTCATTCTTTATGCTGGTTGTGTAAACACTGTATTAATTAAGATGATGAATCCCATAGACCAGACATGTTCATAAATCAAGAAGTAAAGGAAGTTTCTATTCTTTTTAATTTGGCCCCACAATAAAATTTTCTTAATACTTTCCAAAGAAAAGTAATTATTTGGCATTGAAGAAGACTTGAGGGAAAAAGATGGCAATAAAATTGAAAGGAAATAAAGTACAAAATTAGAAATTATTATCAAACACAATACATTAATGAAACTAAACTTGCCATCTCTTGAGCTAAGAATAGCTAGCTTACTTCATAAGCTTAAAATAATTCAAATACAGTACGTGAATTTTATCAGAGCATGTACACACTAAAAATTAAATACCTACAATAATATGAATGTCGGGAAAAACTGATGTCTAAGAAAATTAGAAAAATAATTGAACAGATTGCACTGATGCTTTGCTCTATTTTTAAACTTGGACTATATTTTTTATTTTTAAAATTCTGGCATAGAGAGGAAACTGCTTCTCAGTTTTACTTATAATATCCTACTTTAAAATTGAGTTAAAAGGAAAAGTGCTTTTTCTCTAGAGAAACATGGGCATTCACTATCTCTTGACAATGAGAAATATAAAACTTTGTGTTTTTCCTTTTTAGTTGTAGTTACTGGATTCATATTTTATGTTTGATCACAATTTTTAAACTATTTGTACCTCATGATGAGAAAGTATGTTTCTCACCTATTCCAGTTGGTTAATTATCTCTTTCCACTGAAACATCTTTATTCATTGCATGTCTGACTTTTACTAGAAGAAATATTAATACTTTTTGATTTTCACAACAACAATGTGCCTGGCTATTGGGATTCTTTATTGATGGGGAAACCAATTCTCAACTCAGAAAGCAATTAGTTATTTCACTATTTACCTTTATCTTCTGACCTGAAATCCTTTCCCAGATATACTATGCTACATTCCAAATAATTTTATTTATCTTTGTTCAGTAGCTATGTATATACATGTCTATCAAAATATTTCCCAATGTAAAAAATTGAGTTATTCCAAAATTATTTGTCGCTTAAATTATGTACATGTAAAATGCGAAGGGCCTCTCTGTAACTGAGGTTCATGGCAGCACATTATCAATACTTTTGAAAGGTTTGTCCATTAAAAAATGTTTTTCTTAACAAAAAGAAGCATAGCTGATCCCCTAAATATAACCTCTTCAATGACTTACGTAAAACATTTTCTTAAAAAACTGAAATATAGTGCACTACTATTGATGTATCTTTGTTAAATTGAAAATAAGCAACTATAAAATAAAATATTTTATAAAATTTTACCTGCAGAAAGAGAATCACAAAAAAAATTATGGAAGGAAAGGGAAAAATTAAATGTGATAAAATCTGTTAAGAATTTAGAAGACTATAATATGGGAATATTCATACATTTAGGTACTTAGAATTGATTAAATGTTTTAATTCCTGAATTTACATGCCAAAGACAATTTTGAGAATATCTATGGACAGAATTTTTGACAGCAGATTCAAAAAAGTGAAATATGAATATGAAATATTGAAGATGAAAATGTTATAATAATATTTCATCCCTGAATAACTGAGCCTTAGAGATAAAAAACAATACTTTCTAACAAAAAACATCACCTAGAGATAAAACTTTCTTTGGACAACTGAATGTCATCTGAAACTTTCCTTCCAATTTAGAGATTAAGAAAACATGACAAAATATTCATGGAAATGGAATATAGATTTCAGTTTTATAAAAAGATCTTATGACTATAATATGGAGATTTCAACAAATAAATAAGAAAACTTGCGAACACCACAGCTACAAAAAAGTTATACTATTTATGTGTGAAGTAACACAACTCAAGTTCTCATTAGAAGAGGTTTAAGGGAACTTGAATATAGGAATAACATTAAAAAACAAAGACTATGATAGCAAAATTATATTGAAATGATTTTCTTTGGGAGTTAAACATTAAAGAGGAAAGAAAACTGAAATATAGAAGAGATAATAACAGAGTTTTAGAAGAGATTTCTAGTATAAGTAAACTCAGTGGATACAAAAGAGATGCTTTCGTTTATTTTAGATAGGAGCAGACATATTTAGTTGTGGGCCCTGTAGGAGGGGAAGCATTTTCCTATCAAAAGCATTTCATTTAAATCAAGACTCAGTACTTTTGAGTTAGAATAGAACAATACTAGTTACTATCCTGTTATCTTCAACCACTTCTTAACCCTATTTAAATCATAATATCTAAACCAATAAAGAAGCTAGCCTGTAACACAACTTAAAGGAAGTTTTATTAGGGAATGCATGTTGGTGAGCCTATGTGCTTAGTCTATTAGGAGACAAATTATAAAAATAGTTAATAACACTCAGGAATGCTTAGGAGTTTGCAGTTAATTTTCATGGTATTTTATGAAGAACACAGGTTAAATAGAAATACTATGAGGGAAATAATCTGTCTAAACCTAGAATTCCATTAAAACATTAAGTGAATTCAAAATAACAGATAAATCAATAATAATTACTCAGTACTCAATAAATATTTGATCTATTAAGAAACTAAACAATATGGAGACTTGGTCGTGACTTTTGTATAATATATTCTACAAAATATTTCATCCTGAATGGTTTTAATTAAGATACCACTGAAATTAAATAGTAGCATGAAATAATCTAAAAGGCATGATTACTATTTCATACTAGGGCATGTTATTTCAGCTTGTCAGAATTATAAATTTTAAAGTTACTTATGTTAGTATATTAGAATTTTTTTAATCCAAATTTCTGTATTGGATTATAGTTTCAATAATTACTTCCTCAACTGAATTTATTTTATTCAGGTAAACTACTATTTGGAGATAATGCAATTAGAAAAACCAAGCCTTAATCAGGGTACTTTCAAAAGGATACAAATTTTCATATAACAAAACTTTTCCTTGATTTTATTGTATAATCATAGCTGCCATTTTCTTTGGCCACTTTTTCCCCTCTATATTGTACAGATACTATAGATTACACAACAAATTACCCTCTTTTGAGTTCCTTTTCCTGCTGAAAATAGAAATAATTCACATGCCATAAAACTCTTTATTTTACTACTGTGAATTAATTGATATGATATTTTTCAGTGTTGAAACAAGATGGGCAATGCTAAAAAATAGAATCAAATCTTGAAGGCACTATAAAAGTCAACTGAAGATCAGTGAATAGTATACTGAAAATAATAACTAAATACACAAATATACAAAATACAAAAATACTGGCAGCTTTGCATTATTGTTTGACAATGCAAAACTACCCAATCTAAAGATACTAGTTTCATGAAACCATCCTGCATAAAGCAAAAGAAGTACTGTTTTATTTTTAAGATAGGAGATCAATTTTTCTCCAGGTTGTGTATTAAAATAAGTGCCACTTTATTTCTACTCAGATCAGCAGAAGCCATCTGACTGAATGATTCCATGAATCTAGTAGCAAAGATCGCCACAGGAGTCAAAGGTGATAGTCTTGAATTTGTGCTGTGCCATCTGCCTTACCTCACTGCAGAGGGGAATCTGAGCCATAAAATCATGTGGTTGGAAAACTGCACAAGGGAAAGGGGTCAACCCAGAGATAAAGGGTTCCACTACAATTATTTATTTTCAATAAAAAATATCCTCTGACTTCTGAAGTGCACACAAATTTTAGAAATTGAAATTGGAAATGTAACAAAATATCACTGAAAATTTAAAGTGACACTGAATTGGCCAAGTTACTATGCCTGGACAATTACTTTTAGTAAAATATGTAAGATAAAATTTTTAGGAATATTTAAATTCTAATTTTAAAATATAGTATTTTATGATGAATCTTATATTCTGAGAAATGTTAATAAAGTGCATAGCTTTCAGAGCATATTTGCATTCATGTTTCCATTAAAATGATCTACATTAGAAATAGAAATTATAGATTTTTCTACAGTACATTTTGACTAAAATCTTTACTTTTCAGTTACCATCTTAGGGATTTTAATTATAGTGATATGCTATTATAAATGTTAAATTATTCATCACATTAATCTGTTGCTATTGTTATGAGAAATCTTATTGACAGGACGGCTATAGAGAGGTTAGTGGTCTTGGAAATAGACATCATTGTTGAAGTTGTATTTCAGAAAACAATATGTGGCCTAAAAACACTTTAGGTATTAACTATAAGCTGCCTAAAATCACCATATTAAAATTGCAAAGTGCTTAAGATTGATCATACTAAGAGGTAACGCACTAAAAAAAAAAAAAACAGATAAATGGAGTAATGTAACTGTGGCAGTGCTCACTATTACCTGAAAAGTAGCTGTTATGCTACTGAGAATGAGATGAGTTCTTTATGCTAGTAGTCTGAGGAAAAAGTACACTAAACCCACAAGGTATTACTGAATATTATAGAAGCTACTTTTTCATTAGCACTCTATCTTCATAATAACCTTGTTCTTAATAAACTTTTTTCAACTCAATACATCAAATACTATAACCCACTAATTCAAAATTATGCCTGTTGTAAAAATGGTATATAATAATCCTAACAAATTTAATTAAACTAGCAAAGCAAACACACTGTATGTGCGCCTATTTACAGCTGCAAGCTGTCTGTAGTGTTCTGTGGTACAGCTTTAGGGAGTACATCCAATTGCTGAAGCACTTTATTAAAGCAAAATATTACGCCTGTTTTATATTATCTTTTAGAGGATGTAATATTCCTTATTCTGAACACTGCTATAAAAATCAACTAACTTTCATATTGCAATTTACTGATGATCACATTATTGCCTCAATAAGATAACAACCATTTTTGAATATTCAACTTCCCATTTATTAATGCTAAAGATAATTTACTTCTATCACAAAATACAGTTGTCTATACCAAAATTACTTTACACATCAAAAGAGGCAGAGATATTCATTAAATATACCTTGATATGGAGCACTAAATCCACGATATCGGTGATTGCTGTCTGTAACAAAATGCAGTCTGAGCCAGTTTTTGTTGCTGATAATTGGTGGTGGTATATTCATTCCAGATAACCTGAATTATGGAAAACAACAACAAAAACATTTAAAAAGCTTTGCAACAGTAAATGTTTTCACTAAATTTGGACCTAAAACGTACTGTATACAGTATTCATGACTGCATTGTTAATATTAAGTACAAATTAAAGTTATTTGTACATAGAAAATAAACCATAGAAAGTGCAATGCTAATAAGCAAATGTTACTCAAATAAGGTTGTTTATATTAATAAAATCAACTTTAAAATACATAAAGTATTTGAGTCACCCAAATTTATTACATAGATAATAATAAATATAATGGATGCTGAATAATGTTGCTGATCTGTGTTCACCATGTATATACTGATATAGCATAGTTACAACATAGAAAGACTTCAAATAAATTGCTATACTTTTCCAACCCAGTGTATTTTTAATATTTCACATTTGATGCCAAATTTCACAATTTCATTTCAGAGGACAATCACTATTGTAATGTACTTTCACAATATTATACATTTTCATAATTAGCTCCAATTATAATATATACTTCTATAATGCATAGGAAATCTGTTGAAATTGATAGATAGAAAATGTATTTTCTATGTATATTTGGTCTCTACATATCTAGTCACAAAGGTACATTGCATAATCACCTTAAAGCAAAATTTTGAAACCATGCCCCAGATATTGATCATAGATCTGATGAAGTAACTCTCTTGTCCTATATACATTTTTAAGATTTTCATGAAACAGTGCCCTAATTTCACTCAATAAAGAAATACTACCCCTGTATACCTAAACATTTAAATTCTAGGTGTATGTTATAAAAATTTATGGTAAAATATTACCTATACCAAGACTATTACATAGTGATGGTGAGTTTTATACTAAGGATTCCTAATGATCAGTGTATGATGTATCTTTACCTTTACCATTCTTCAAAAGTTACATTTTTTTTCATCAGAAGGCAAAATAGGTGTAAGCATAGTGGTACAAGGTATTTTATTCAGGTAAACTACTATTTGGAGATAATGCAATTAGAAAAACCAAGCCTTAATCAGGGTACTTTCAAAAGGATACAAATTTTCATATAACAAAACTTTTCCTTGATTTTATTGTATAATCATAGCTGCCATTTTCTTTGGCCACTTTTTCCCCTCTATATTGTACAGATACTATAGATTACACAACAAATTACCCTCTTTTGAGTTCCTTTTCCTGCTGAAAATAGAAATAATTCACATGCCATAAAACTCTTTATTTTACTACTGTGAATTAATTGATATGATATTTTTCAGTGTTGAAACAAGATGGGCAATGCTAAAAAATAGAATCAAATCTTGAAGGCACTATAAAAGTCAACTGAAGATCAGTGAATAGTATACTGAAAATAATAACTAAATACACAAATATACTGGCAACTTTGCATTATTGTTTGACAGTGCAAAACTACCCAATCTAAAGATACTAGTTTCATGAAACCATCTGCATAAAGCAAAAGAAGTACTGTTTTATTTTTAAGATAGGAGATCAATTTTTCTCCAGGTTGTGTATTAAAATAAGTGCCACTTTATTTCTACTCAGATCAGCAGAAGCCATCTGACTGAATGATTCCATGAATCTAGTAGCAAAGATCGCCACAGGAGTCAAAGGTGATAGTCTTGAATTTGTGCTGTGCCATCTGCCTTACCTCACTGCAGAGGGGAATCTGAGCCATAAAATCATGTGGTTGGAAAACTGCACAAGGGAAAGGGGTCAACCCAGAGATAAAGGGTTCCACTACAATTATTTATTTTCAATAAAAAATATCCTCTGACTTCTGAAGTGCACACAAATTTTAGAAATTGAAATTGGAAATGTAACAAAATATCACTGAAAATTTAAAGTGACACTGAATTGGCCAAGTTACTATGCCTGGACAATTACTTTTAGTAAAATATGTAAGATAAAATTTTTAGGAATATTTAAATTCTAATTTTAAAATATAGTATTTTATGATGAATCTTATATTCTGAGAAATGTTAATAAAGTGCATAGCTTTCAGAGCATATTTGCATTAATGTTTCCATTAAAATGATCTACATTAGAAATAGAAATTATAGATTTTTCTACAGTACATTTTGACTAAAATCTTTACTTTTCAGTTACCATCTTAGGGATTTTAATTATAGTGATATGCTATTATAAATGTTAAATTATTCATCACATTAATCTGTTGCTATTGTTATGAGAAATCTTATTGACAGGACGGCTATAGAGAGGTTAGTGGTCTTGGAAATAGACATCATTGTTGAAGTTGTATTTCAGAAAACAATATGTGGCCTAAAAACACTTTAGGTATTAACTATAAGCTGCCTAAAATCACCATATTAAAATTGCAAAGTGCTTAAGATTGATCATACTAAGAGGTAACGCACTAAAAAAAAAAAAAACAGATAAATGGAGTAATGTAACTGTGGCAGTGCTCACTATTACCTGAAAAGTAGCTGTTATGCTACTGAGAATGAGATGAGTTCTTTATGCTAGTAGTCTGAGGAAAAAGTACACTAAACCCACAAGGTATTACTGAATATTATAGAAGCTACTTTTTCATTAGCACTCTATCTTCATAATAACCTTGTTCTTAATAAACTTTTTTCAACTCAATACATCAAATACTATAACCCACTAATTCAAAATTATGCCTGTTGTAAAAATGGTATATAATAATCCTAACAAATTTAATTAAACTAGCAAAGCAAACACACTGTATGTGCGCCTATTTACAGCTGCAAGCTGTCTGTAGTGTTCTGTGGTACAGCTTTAGGGAGTACATCCAATTGCTGAAGCACTTTATTAAAGCAAAATATTACGCCTGTTTTATATTATCTTTTAGAGGATGTAATATTCCTTATTCTGAACACTGCTATAAAAATCAACTAACTTTCATATTGCAATTTACTGATGATCACATTATTGCCTCAATAAGATAACAACCATTTTTGAATATTCAACTTCCCATTTATTAATGCTAAAGATAATTTACTTCTATCACAAAATACAGTTGTCTATACCAAAATTACTTTACACATCAAAAGAGGCAGAGATATTCATTAAATATACCTTGATATGGAGCACTAAATCCACGATATCGGTGATTGCTGTCTGTAACAAAATGCAGTCTGAGCCAGTTTTTGTTGCTGATAATTGGTGGTGGTATATTCATTCCAGATAACCTGAATTATGGAAAACAACAACAAAAACATTTAAAAAGCTTTGCAACAGTAAATGTTTTCACTAAATTTGGACCTAAAACGTACTGTATACAGTATTCATGACTGCATTGTTAATATTAAGTACAAATTAAAGTTATTTGTACATAGAAAATAAACCATAGAAAGTGCAATGCTAATAAGCAAATGTTACTCAAATAAG